CCCTCAGTCTTCCGTTGGGCATTCTCGGCCTTTGCTTCCTAACCTTCCCTGCTTTATTTTCTTCTTCTTTTGTGTGTGTGTGTGTGTGTGTGTGGTGTGTGGCATTGGGGATTGAACCTAGGCCCTTCGCACTGAGCTACATCCTCAACCCTTATTCTTTTTTTTTTTTTTGGTACCAGGGATTGAATTTGGGTCCTTGCGTTTGCAAGGCAGGCCACCGAACCACTGAGCTAAATCTCCGGCCCAACCCTTCTTATTCTGATACAGGGTCTCATTAAATCACTAAATTGCTCAAGCAACCTGTGATCCTCCCGCCTCAGCCTCCCAGGGTACTAAAATTAGAGGCGTGTGCCACCACGCTTGGCTTCACCCCCAATTTATTCTAAATTTTGTTCTTAGTTTAGGACACGCCCATTTCATCCCAGCCCTGCCAAACGGCATTCCCAGAAACCTGGATTCAGCCTTCCCAAGGCTCCGCCCTTCAGGCGGTTCCCTGTTTTTTGCTCCCACTTTCAACCTGCCAATCAGAGCCCGCCCCTGCTTCAGGCCACACCCTCTCCCGAATATCGGTGGTTGGCTCACAGCGTAACTGCAAGCCCCGCCTTCTCTGCCCGTCAGCCAATCCACCGGTGCGGGCAATGTGAAGCCACATCCACCTGCCCTTGGCCTGGTTTCTCCCCCCCTACAACCGTAACCCGACCTGTCTCCGCCCGGATCTACAGTGTCTGGACCTGGGACCATGAGGGTCCTACTCACTCCATTCTGGCCGCCAATCTCTGGTTGAAATAGCCTGGGTTTTCCTAGGCCATGAGCACACAAGGCCACGCCCACAACGCGCCCCACATGGACCCCGCCCCGCGTGGCTCTACCCCGCCCTCCCTTTCCGGACCCCTAGTCTCTGGACGGGCTGGGGAGACCTGGAGGTGGCTTCTGCCTGCTGTGTCACGCTCCTGCTGCCCTTCCCCCCACCAGGTGGCCGCCTTGCAGCTGATGGCAACGCCGGAGCTGGCGGGACAGGAGGACGGCGCACGGATGCACCAGCTGAAACTCAAGTGAGCTCCGGCGCCCATCCGACTGGCCTGGCGGGGTTTGCCCGGGCCCGGTCAGACCTGCACGCGGGCTGCAGAGTGCTGCACCCCGAGTCCTCACCTGGTGTCCTTAGACACACACATTTCTGCAACTTCCCTGCAGAAACTCGCGGGGCATTGCTGGGACACAGCTGCCCCCTTTGGCCCGTGTCAGCCCTGCACATATGGTTGAACCTGGAGCTCGGATTCGGGACCTGCCAAGCTGGCACTGTTAACTTCCCGTGGCCTGCACACTTCCACTCGCCGAGATGGCCTTTCCCACCCCCAAGCTGACCCACAGCCACCCCACCTGGCACCGTCCCCAGGGCTGCCTGGGGCTGTAGCAGGGGGCAAGCAGGAGGGCCTGGGGCTTGCCACAGCCCCCACGGAGCTAACTGCGCAGCGGCAGCTAATTCACCCCATCTGGGTTTTATTTATAGTTCCCATTCGCTCTCGTAGGGTAATTAAAACCATGGAGGCGATCAGCGAGGTTCTCCAGGACCTTAGGTTTGATGCGGAATCTGCAGAGTGATGGCGGCTCCCGGGGGACACCCGAGAGAGCTGGGAAATGAGGCCAGGGGCATGGAGCCCAGCCCTGACCACCAGCTGGCCCAGGTGGTGGCCCCTGGGACCAGGACTCCTCCACTGCGGTACCACCCACAATAAAGAACCCTGCGCCTGCAGCCTCTCTGTCTGGGGGCCAGGCCTTGTGTCTGCGGAGGGACCCGCACCCTGCGGGGAAACTCCTGAGTTCTGGCTTGGTCTGCCCTCCCTGCCCTCCAGGAGTTAAGGACGCAGACTTGCAGAGAAAGTCTGGAATCCCAGGAGGTAGGGGTTTCTCAGATGCTCCCCAGGTCCCCCAAACCCTACAGCTCTTCCCTGGGTTTCAGACACCTCCACCATCAGAGCACCTAAATAGCTCATTTATTTGAAAAGGCTCTCAAGGGACCCCAGGCGGGTGAGCAAGGGCTTCTCTCGCCCCAAGCTCGGGGCGTGGGCTCTGGACGGCTCCGCCCACCCACGCAGACGGGTGCACCCAGGGGCGGGGCTGTGGCAGCCGCGGAGCTCAGAGCTCCTGCCCGACCCTGCAGACTGTGCTCGGATGCCCTGGGTGAGGGTCCAGTTCGGCTTGGTCTCTGGGTCTCCCCGTGGCAGGCAAGGTGGCCCCATCACTAGAGCTTATCTGGCAGGACCTGCGGGCACAAGGAAAACCGCGCTGAGCAGCGAGCCGGGGGTCAGCATTGGGGTCCTGCCCTTTGCTACTTCGAGCTGTGTGGCCTTGCTGTGGACAGTGCCCCTCTCTGGGCCTTGGTTTCCCTTCTGAGAAGGAGACTTTTGGATCATTCCTGGGGGTCCCCTTCAGGTGAAGCCCTTAACCCAGGGGTCAGCAGGCGGCAGGTTCTTAGCCTTGCAATGACGAGATTACGGGGCTGGGGGCTCCTAACTAGGCCAAAAGCTGCCCGCTGGGTACACAGTAAATGCTGCTGGTCCAGAGGAAGGGTCACTGTGTCCCTTTCCTGCCACTTACCCTTCCTCCCGGGCCCCCCTTACCTCTCGCCGCACCCCGTCTGCCCGAGGGCAAGATCCCCTCGTCCTGTGCTTGGAAAGAAGGCAGCAGTGTCGTGGGGCCGCAGACCTGAGTGCCTCTGTCCCCCGCGGGTCCCCACGCCAGCGGGACCCCCTCCCTACCTGGTTTCGAGTCTTGTGCGACTTCTGCATCCAGGCCCGCCACTGGTCGTAGAGGCGGAAGCTGAGGTTGGAGCAGTACGCGTGCTTCTTGAGCCAGCCCAGGAACTGCTTGAGCTCGCGCCGCACCGGGCCCGAGCTCGGCTCTCCTCCCCGCGGCTCGC